AAAGATTCCCTCAAAATCAAAAAATAAAATAAATATTAAAAAATAAAATAAATAACAAAAATAAAGGAAATGTTTTCTATCATTTGGTTTTCTGTGTTGGCAGATGCATCCCCATTGCTTTTTGCTCATGACCAACAGAAATTTAAACAAACATCTCATGAAAGAATAAATACACTAAACATTAATAATTTGCCTCTAATGAACAGTAGCTATATACATACACATGCATGTACATATTAGCTATATACTCATATACACATTACTGTAAACATGTATAGAGAAATGAGGATATACATACAATATACAAAAAGTTACCAAACATAATTCAAAGGTCTGTGATCCAAACTGGTTTATTTATTTATGAGTTTGCTGTCAATATCGACCAGTTCTACCTGGTGAAATAAGTATCTTTATTTTACCTTGTAAATACAAAATTAGTCACTTAAGAGACCTGGTAAATGTTAACATGCTACATAGTCACTTGCTGTTAACATTATAAACACCTTCACAGGTTCAAATTACTAGGCATCACTAAACTCAAATTGCCTGACTCAAGGATCAAATGAATGAGGGATATTAAATCAGAGGTAAGAAAAATTATATCTTTTTTCTCATTTTAAAATACTGACTGAAAGGATTCTTGGCTACTCTTGGAATTTATCAGTGGCGAGCAGCAACAAAGTTAATCTCTTGTAAACTGCAGGGTATTGGTGAGTATACTGAAAAACAGAAACATTTTTCCTATGAAAGGTCTTTTGATTAGAACAAGACACAGACTGAAATTACTTCAATTTCTAGTATATATTTTAGAAATTTGAAGTACCAACTGGACTTGTCAATATGGACAAGATTGAAAAGAGTTTTATTTATTTTACCTATAGTTATTATTAGCAATGATTTCTAAGACACAATGAAATCTCAGTGTAGAATAAAAGTTCTAAAGATGACGTATTTTTACCTGTAATGGTTATTTTTGCCGACCACTTAGATGTCCCATCCAGGACACTCTGTTTGGCTGCCTTTGTGTATTGCACAAAATCTTCTTTAGAAATCTGAAACATTTCCTGAATTACTTCAAACACCTCCGGTCTGTTTTTCTCCCTGATCTTCATTCTTTCTTTCATTGCTGTGATAATGGTCTGAGTCTTGTCTTCAGCACCATGCTTAGAACTCTTCTCTGCTGCTCCTATAGTGGAAAAATAAATGTTGATATGAATGTACATGCAGTTACCGTTCGATGGCCTAAATAAGGAGAAAAAGAAGGAGGAATATGAGAATGAATGAAGAGTCAGGGTGGCTTTTTTGGAAAATGCCATGACTCAGAACAACCAGCACTCCTTTGTATTATGTCAAGTAAATTGACCTCCATGATTCCCAGCTTTCTCACTTGTATTACTGGACTAAATCTGGGGTTGTGCAAAACTTCAGTTTGAATTTTCAAAAAAAAAAAAAATACTTCAAAACAGCAAAAAGAATGCACACAATCAAATGTATTGCATACCACACACATTTATTCAATGGGTATCTACTATGGCTCGAATGTGTCTACCAAATATTGTGTCTTGGAAACTTAATCCCCAAATTCATAGGTTGGTGGAATTTGGAGGTGGGAGCTTTAGGAGGTAATTAGGATTAAATAAGGTAATCAGGGTGGGTCCCGCATGATGGGACTGGTGGCTTTATAAGAAGAGGAAGAGAGACCTGAGCTGGCATGCTCTTGCCGACTGGCCTTGTGATACCCTCCACCATGTTACGATGCAGCAGGAAGGCCCTCACCAGATGCCAGTGCCATGCTCCCGGACCTTCCCAGCTTTAGAACCATGAACTAAATAAACTTATTTTCTTTGTAAATTACTCAGTCTCTGGTATTCCGTCATAGCAACAGAAAACGAACGAAGATAGTGTCCAAAACAAAATTGAGAAATAGATTAGATATAAGTGGTAAATATAAC